GAAAGAAAGAAAGAAAGAAAGAAAGAAAGAAAGAAAGAAAGAAAGAAAAGAAAGAAAGAAAGAAGAAGGGGAGAGAGAAAGAGAGAGAGAGAAAGGAAGGAAGGGAGAGAGAGAGAGAGGAAGGAGGAAGGCAGGAGGAGGGAGAGGGTGCCAGGGAGTGTATCCCAACCCTCACGAGGACAAGTGTGCGAGACCAGGTGTGCGAGGACAGGTGTGCGAGGACAGGTGTGCAAGGACAGTTGTGTGAGCTCAATGACACCTCCCAGAGGCCCCGCTGGCCTCCATGAGTGACCTCAGAACCCAGGGGCCGGCCTCCCGGGGTCGTGTCCGTGGTCCCGTCTCGTGTCCGTGGTCCCGTCTCGTGTCCGTGGTCCCGTCTCGTGTCCGTGGTCCCGTCTCGTGTCCGTGGTCCCGTCTCGTGTCCGTGGTCCCGTCTCGTGTCCGTGGTCCCGTCTCGTGTCCGTGGTCCCGTCTCGTGTCCGTGGTCCCGTCTCGTGTCCGTGGTCCCGTCTCGTGTCCGTGGTCCCGTCTCGTGTCCGTGGTCCCGTCTCGTGTCCGTGGTCCCGTCTCGTGTCCGTGGTCCCGTCTCGTGTCCGTGGTCCCGTCTCGTGTCCGTGGTCCCGTCTCGTGTCCGTGGTCCCGTCTCGTGTCCGTGGTCCCGTCTCGTGTCCGTGGTCCCGTCTCGTGTCCGTGGTCCCGTCTCGTGTCCGTGGTCCCGTCTCGTGTCCGTGGTCCCGTCTCGTGTCCGTGGTCCCGTCTCGTGTCCGTGGTCCCGTCTCGTGTCCGTGGCCGAGACGGTGGCTGGGGTCTCCCGTCCTCGCTGGGGAAGGTTCCCCGGGGCCTTCTCGCCGGGTCTTCTCGGGGCTGGGGCTGGAGGTGCTGCCCGAGCCCCCTGGCGGGTGCCAGGGTCACCTTCTCGGTGGGCGTCCCTCTCTGTCCCCCACGAAGGCTCCTCTGTGCCCCGAGTTCTCTCTGCTGGAGGCCGGGGCCGATGTGATCTCAGACCTCAGGTGGGGGGCGGGGGCTCCTGGGCTCATTTACAAAAATTACAGGGATGAGAAAACTGACCTCTGACCTCGTGCGTAGTGTGAGAATTTTAAAAAATATATATTTTTATTGATTTCAGAGAGGACGGGAGAGGGAGAGAGGGACATCCATGATGAGAGAGAATCGTGGATCGGCTGCCTCCTGCACGCCCCACGCTGGGGATCGAGCCCGCAACCCGGGCCTGTGCCCTGACCGGGAATCGAACCGTGACCTCCTGGTTCTAGGTTCATAGGTTCACGCTCAACCACTGAGCCCCGCCGGCCAGGCCTGGGTCTGATCAAGAGAGAGCAAGTCCCCCTGGTGGTGCTTTCGTCCGAGCCCGCGTGCCTCCGAGGACTGGGCTCTCGGCCCTCGAACCCGAGGCCTCCTTTGCTGCCCCTGAGCCTGGTTCTGAGGCCGCCTCCTGTGCCCGAATCGGCACGTGTCCCTGCCGAGCCCCACTGCTCGCGGCTGGTGGCAGGCCCTCTCGACCTTCTGCCCTCTTGCCCTCCCCCCATCCGTCGTGGCCACAGACGCAAGGCCGCCGGCCAAGGTTTGGGCCTTGGTCCTGTCCCCCTGTCCCTCCCGCCACTCACACAGCCGTGCCAGCTCCCCCGGGACAGGGCCTTCTCCTCCTCCCCCCTCTGGGCGTCCTTGCGGCACCCACCCCTTCCTCTCTCTCCCTCACCCCTGGGTGTTCCGCCACGAGATGGGCTCCCCCAGGCAGCGACCTGAGCACGCTAAACGCATGGCACATGGCGGGCAGGAGGGCAAGAGGGCGTCTGTCTCGGGACCGCGGGCGCTGGGGTCGAGCTCCTCGCCCACCCAGGCCGATGTCCGAGGAGGGACAGAGCTTCCCTGTGGAAGGACTTTGGGGTGGGCGGCGCCCTGGCGGACGGAGAAGATTTAGTGCCTCTCAGCTCTCATACCTGAGGAGCCACCCAGGCTGCTGACCGCCAGGGACACCCACCCGGGGAGGAGAGGAGATGCTGGAACACGGGGCGGGCAGTCACCCGTGGCGGGGAGGCGGGGAGGCGAGGAGGCCAGAGCCCCAGGGAATCTGAGCACATCAGGGCCCCCAGGAGGCGAGGTCAGAGGCAAATGGCCAGGAATCCGAAGAGAATGATGTATTTGTTTGCAATCTATTTTTAATGCCCCATCAACACGACCTCGTGGCAGCCAGGGCCTGGCCGAGCCGCCGGGCAGGCTCCTGCCGTGGCCCCCAAGGACCAGCTCAGAGGTGATCCCCTCCAAGGACAAAACCCTGAAACCCAGCTCGAGCCCCGCTCCCCGTCACAGGCCGCCTGGCACTGCCCGAGGGTGGACAGCTGGCCCCGGGGGGGAAAAGGAGCAACACACCCCGCAGACTCCGCCAGCGGGCCCCCGGGCCTCATCTCTCGCAGTTTGTTTTGTCCGAGAAGTTTGATTCGAAACGGTCGCAGGCCGAGCCCACGGCAGCTGCCGGGGTTGGTGGCCTCTGGGAAGGGCCAGTCGTGCCCGGCAGATGTGGCTCAGTGGTTGAGTGTCGACTTATGAACCAGGAGGTCATGGTTCGATTCCCGGTCAAGGGCACAGGCCCGGGTTGTGGGCTCCATCCCCAGTGTGGGGCATGCAGGAGGCAGCCGGTCCATGATTCTCTCTCATCATGGATGTTTCTATCTCTCCCTCTCCCTTCCTCTCTGAAATCAATAAAAACCTATTTTAAAAATAAATAAAAATAAAAATGACCTTTGCATCCTGGATAAGCGAACAAGATGGGTGTGAGATTCAGACGGAAGGAACCTGTCTCCCTGGACCACGTTGCAAACCCTCCCTCAGGCCTCTCGTTTACCCGTCAAAGGCAGTGAGGGGCATCGGGTGTTGTTCAACCCATTGCCCGGGTGGGAAAACTGAGGCCCAGGGAGAGGCTGCGATGCCAGGTGCGTGGCAGCTCCCTGGTCAGCCCCCCCTCTGGCCCCCAGGCTCTGTTCCTCAAGGGCCCGGGCGGAAAGCCTCTGAAACCACCAGCTGGGAGTGCAATGGGAGGTACGTAAGTGCGAAGCGAGCGAGTGTAAAAACGGGATTAGTGTCTCCGTGCTGCCGGGTCTCCTGGGATCAGCAGGGCCGGGGCGGCTGGCGAGGACG